TGATTCTGTTCATATTGTATTTAAATTTATTAAAAAGGAGAAAATAATAATTTAAAGCCTTTAGAATTTTAATCACTATATATATATACCATGAGTTATTGGGAAGACCTAAAACTAGTTTTTGTTAGTAATCAAATTATAATTAGAAAAATACAAATTTCTTATATTTTAATATTTTAGCAGTAGCAAATTTAATATTATTTCATCAGGTTAAATTTTCTATTATTTACATTTAGATGATTCCAATCATGATACCATCAAATTTATATATTTTATGGGATAACTTTAACATCAGATGGTTTATTTATAGAGTTGAAAATAATTTTATATATCAATATTTGATTCTCCAATTGAATTTAATTAATTCTGAATATTTTAGATTAATTATTTTTTAAGATTTACTCATACCCATTTATTAGTGATCATTTATTTTATCAATTAGACAGAGGGTTAATTCATCTTATGAAAAGTGGACTTATCAGATCATTTAATGAGTCTTGATTATTATCAATCTGGCTACACAATAATCACTATAACTTGAAAATTTATTGTTGGATAAGTGAAATAGTGTCAAAAGGGTCTCTAGAACTAATAAAATCTATTAATTTTAGATGTATTTATAAGTATTAGAGATTTCAGAAAATATGAGTTGCACAATTAAATTCTTAATTTGATTTAAAGATAATTTAACTATAATTTTGATTATAAATAATGAAAACTACAGAAGTATATGTAAGCATAAAAATTTAGAGACTCCAATAATATCTTTGAACAAATTTTGATATATATATAAAGTTGGAGATATTTATATAATAAATTGCTATGATTTAAATTATTTATAATAGTGGTGATTACATAGTTCAATTTTAGTAAGGAATGGTTAAATATGTAATTTAGTAAAACATTCTATTTCTAATGAAATTGAATTTTTGATTATTATTATTATATAAATGTTATTCTCAAGAATAGTTATAAACTGTTAAAACAATATAATTTACTTTTTAAATGATTTTTATAACATATTGATATTCAAATAAATCAGTAATTTCTATTTTTTGAAATAAGCTATAATTTATAATAATAAACATATATATATAGGCGTTTATAATAAAATTTATTTCGATATCTTAGAACTCTTCAAATATAAATAAAAGATTAAGAACCATGCTTTTAGGATCTATTAAAGTTAAATTTGAATCAATAAAGATATATAATTAAATAAAACCTATTCTAAATTAAGCATCTTAATTATTTAAATTAATTGAAATCCATTTTTCATAATAATATTAAGCTTACTATTATGACTTTTAATTTCTTAACATATTACCTAAATATTAAAGTAATATTTATACCCATTTTCAAAAAAGAGGGTTCATGTTTTAGATGAATTGTAATTATCTCTTTATATATTTATTATGCATTTTCTAACTTATTCAATTAATTTAATGAATTTACTTATATTAATAATTATTAACCTTTTTAATGCATAAATTTTATATTCTATGGTTAAATTAACAATACCTTATCAAATATTTTAATTAATTCATTTTATTATTGAATTGTTGATAATTCTATTTTAATAAAAAGTTCATCTAATATTTTCTAAAATTTGGGTAAAAATCCCAAAATATTATTTTTTATATGATTCTTAAATTTATCAAGTTTTAATAAAAGAATCAAGAGCTTATTATGTTTAATAATTTTTAAATTAATTAATTTTATCTTCTATTCCACAGAATTTGTATGATAAACCATAAATGAGTTTATCTAATGATTTAATTGTTTATTTTTATTAAAGTTGACATTCTGAAATAAGATTTTCATGTTGTTTTGATTAATCAATTAAAAATTAATTTAATTCATGAATACAAAGAACATCTTCATTATAATGTTGGTTATGTTTATTCTACTTTTGACAACTTAGACAGAAAATTCTATTCTCATCGCAATCATTTGATTTACACCAGAAAAGAGCAGGCGTATCAGGATGATCTATATATTGTAAATCCTATTTCTATTAAAATTATGAATTTTATTTCATTATTTACTTATAAATTAAATTTATCAACTAATATACTATTTCTATATATATGTTATAAAAAATCAGCATATATCATAAGAATTATTTAAATTATTTCCAATTCATTTTTTAAAGAGGATTATATTGTTGATTATGGCTGTAATGAACTAAAATTAGGATACCGTCAAATTTCTTAAAAGATTTACATACTTCATGCTTGAAAAGTATTTAAAAACATAGAAGCATAATAAATCATAAACAGTTATAAAATGTTAAATTGATTGTATAAAAAGTCAAAATTATTGTAATTACTATCCTTATGTGAAAACCATGACTAAAAAGATTATTGTGGAAACTGCTTAGAAAGAATA